GCCCAATATTATACATGCATAGCCAGGATTTAAACACCAAAATCTGGGTTGTGCTCCCAATTCATGATTCTGCTTCTCTGCAAATAAGGCATGAGTATAGGTAACATAATTAAATATAAGAAACAATATTAATAAAAGAAAATAAAACAAAAGGCAATCCTGGAAGAATGCAACACATTATTTTATATGATTTTTACATAGCTCAAAAGTAGTGACACTAATATACTGTGTAGGGAAACATGTATAGGGAATATATACTATATAGGAATACATAATAAAATTATTTTTTAAAATGAAAACAAGAAAGGGTAGTAATTGCTCCTGGGCAGCAGGATGCATATGGAAGGAAACAGAGAGAAGATGAAGGTAGCTGCCCCTGCAATAGGATTGGTGATATTCTCATTCAGAAGTTGGGTACTGGGTTCACATGTATTTATTTTATTATACTTTCTAATATATTTATGTTATGTATATCCTTTTCTCTATGAAATATTATGTTTTAAAAGATATTAAAACAAAGAAATAAATAGAAAGTGAGAAAGTGGAAAAATAAAAGGCTTTGGCTACATTTTCAATGTGTTTGAAGGAAAGAAGGAAAGACGTGGTAATCACCAGGTAGATCCCTGGTTAAGGGTGTGTGTTAGTGTTTGTGTGTGTGTGTGTTTCTCTCTCTCTTTTTTTTTTTTTAGAGAGTGTCTCAGCCAGGCGCAGTGACTCACACCTGTAATCCCAGCACTTTGGGAGGCCAAGGCAGGAGGATCACCTAAGATCGGGAGTTCAAGACCAGCATGACCAACATGGAGAAAACTCATCTCTACTAAAAATACAAAATTAACCAGGCATGGTGGAGCATGCCTGTAATCTCAGCTATTCAGGAGGTTGAGGAAAGATAATCCCTTGAACCCAGAAGGCAAGGGTTGAGGTGAGCCAAGATCTTAACATTATACTTTAATTTGAGACATTAAATTCTGTCTCAAAAAAAAAAAAAATTAGTGTCACACTATGTTTCCCAGGCTGGTCTTGAACTCTTGGGCTCAAGCAATACTTCTGCCTCAGTCTTCAGAGTAGCTGGGACTATAGGCATGCATCGTATGTGGGTCTTCAATGGGAGGGTCTGAATCTTGTTTCTAGATAGGTAAGCTAAATTTAAGTGTGGAAAGTTTTCCTGACTATCATGACTGTGGGGAGGGTACTACTGGCATCTTGTAGGTACAAGCCAGAAATGCAGCTAAACATCCTACGATTAAATATGACACTCCCATCCCCAACTATGAATTATCCAAGACGCCAGCAGTACCAAGGTTGAGAAGCTCAGAGATAGAGAAAGCAAAGCAGGAGAGATTTAAAAAAAAAAAAAAATCACAGCAAGAAAACAATTGAGAGAATAGGATTCAGACAAGACAGGAGAGGTGAGCCCCAAAGCAGACACATTACATCTTCAGAGCCTGGTGAGCACGGAAGAACTGAACCTTTTCTTAGCTCACTCTTTTAAGCAAAATGTCATAAAGTTGACTGTACTCCTACTCTGCTGCTACTAAAAACAGCCTCCGAGGGCATATTGAGAATTTTATTGGCAATCATTCTAAAGAAAGAGGAAGAACAAGTACAAAATAAGAAATATAGGTGGGGCTGAAGTTGCATCAGCGCTAATGAAGCATCATAAGCTTCAGGACTCCTTCCTGGCCCCTGCCCTTAACTGCAGACCTGAGAGGAGCCTCTGCCATTTTGAAATTTATAAATTTGAGTTAATTATATTACTTAAAAGTCCCCCCAGTTGCATACATTTTGAGCTACAAAATAAGGATTTACCCTGGAGTATAGGGCACTCAATTAAATAGGTTTCTTAGCTACTTTCCTTGACATCCTGGCTAGATGGCACCCTGAAGCTCAATAGCCGCATACCACTCTATTTAGTTCCCCAAGATGCCATTCATAAAGCCTCATCACCCTCCAGGTCTCCTACCCTTATGTAGTTTTCACAGGCCATTTCCTCCATGAAAGCCCAGCGTCCTAGTATTAAAGTCCTGAAGGTATAATTAGTCCAAAACAATAAATGAGAATGAGTAGGCGATTCAATTTCCCCTGCTCTGAAGAGGAAATCACATTACAATGAGAAGCTGCTATCTCTTGTTCTTACGGTCCACATAGGAAACAACAGTTCAAGAAAATTGTTATGAAATTTTGTGTACATGAGTCACCTATTTGTAATAAATGTGGATTCCAGGGAACCACTCCATGAGAGTCATACAATATTTTGGTCCAAGGATGATAATTTAAGAACTACTTCCTCAATGCAAAGGTTGTTAGTTTTCTGAAATGACAGATCTTTTGTAGATTCTTCTAATATTCACATATTAATTTTAATATGGGGATTGATCTATGACAGCCTTATTTGTGACCCCTAGGTTAGACACTTCACAGGTTAGATGATATGAGAGAGAGAGAGAGAGAGAGAGAGAGAAGAAAAAGAAAGAGATAGTGGGAGAGCCAGTTAGGATTGAAGTAGGAAAGAGATCAACCAAGAAGTGAAAGAAAAACTCATTAAATTTCACTGGCAGGAGGTCATGTATGTTTGTCTGTGTGTGCATGCGTGTGTGTGCATCTATATTTAAATTTTATACATACATGGAGAGAGAGAGGAAGAGTGAAAGAGAGCAATTAGTGTACATATGTTTGAAGTCAAAAGAGAACTGCAGAGAAAATGAAGACATTAGAAAGAAAGGAAAGATAGGGTGAAAGGCAATATTTGCTTCTGCTTTAACCTGTAACCACTAAAATGCCAGAAAAAGACATAATCCAAAAAGGACAAATAAAACTGTAGTGTAGATGCCAAGGAAATATCAGCAACATTTTTAAAACTCTAAAACATATGGGCAAGTGTTGGCACTTTGCTCACGAGGAAAAGCGGAAATCTGACTGTGTGCAAGGGTGATAGGAGCCAATATGCAAGCTGATTCATAAAAAAAGACTCCAGAAATTCTCAGAAATTAGAAGCCTAGAGAGTGAGAAGAGGGCTGGGTGTGGATGAACTCAGAAGTGTTTCAAATTGTGCATAATAAGCAGTAATGCCAGACAATAAATGGGGAACAATCTGACTTAGAGGAGTACCAGGAAGAAAGTCAAGAGAAGAATGAAGAGAAGAAAAGTTATAACAGAAAATGAGTATTCTCTAAAGGTAAAGTCCATGGGGTCCCTGATAGAAAGGTCCGCTGTGTCTCAGTGCAATGGGTGTAAAGGAAAGATGCTAAGAGAAATATGAGAAGGTTTAAAAACACAGATTAAAGAGGCAATTCTAAACACAGGGGTGGTGAAAGACAGGTAACATCCAAAACTTTGAAATTAGAATAGGATTTCTCAGTAGCTATACTAGAAGTTTGGAAAGAATGGAGCAATATCCTCAAAATTCTGAAGCAAAGTGGTTTTCAACCAAGAAGTTTATAGACATCTACCAATAATGTGTGAAGCTGGAATAATAAAATTTGCAAACATACAAGACTCCATACTGGACTCTATATCCTTCTTCCAGGAGCTAGGAGAGTATAGGCTTCCACAACATGGCAGACTTAGACGGGAAGGTGGTGGGGGTGGGGGAGCTGAGAAACTGAAGTTATATAAAAATCAGTGGCTGAGAAGATGCTCCAGGTGACGGTGAAGCTAGCTCTAGCAGGGCAAGTGGAGCATGGAGGATACCTTCAATTAAAAAACCCAAACAATATGAACTGATGAAAACGGGTATGTTTCACTACTTAGAGAGGAGTGTAAAAACTCTTGTAGAGAAGTTGGCAAAAATTTACTGAAGCGAATAGAAAAATATCAAATGGAAAAAATGGAATAATGTTTAATTTCAAGAGAAGAAAATTGCAAAAAAAGTAAAGACGGAAGGAAATAAGGGCAGAAGAAAGGGAGGGAAAAGTGTAATAAACCTACAGCATGTGGCTCAGTGGTGAATACTATCTTTCTAATCATAAGGTGAAGACACCACTGTTAGCCAAATATTGTGGTATAATTATTTTGAGAAGATAGAGGGAGGGTTGCTGATGAAGTGTGGTAAGTGGATATTTTAACTGTGGTATTGCAAGAGAAGAATGCTAAAATCCTCACCTTCTTTAAAGTTATTAGATATTGTCTAACATGAAGGATATCAATAAAGAACAGTAGGCAAATGTTCTTGTGAAATATGTAGAGAAGAACCAGAATAAACAACAAAAGGTTTGAAAGTATTACCTCTAGGTATAAGGAACTAATAGAAACCAAGGAATGATGCTTTGTCATAGGTTTTTTTCTTAAATGACTTAAGAAAATATGGACATGGCTCATAAACATTAAAATAAATAAATTATGTAGAAAGTGTATTACATAATACATGCACTTATGCCAAAAATACTATGTTCTAAATATTTATATATGTTTTGTATAAGATTTATAGGGGTCTAAGAAAATTTAGCTCAATTATTTGTGGAATTATAGACTATAATTACAGATTATTTTTCTCTTTTTCAAAATGATATTGGTACTTGCTTGTTTTAAATTTATAAGTTACTCCACCAGTTTAAAGGAGCATCCACCTGAATTAGTGATATTACCAACAGAACTATATGAGGCAGTTATATTGAGGCCACATATTCACATTTCTTCAAGTTTGTGCTTTGGGATAGTCAAGTCCAGAGGAACTGGTGGTGACTTATCATCCTCCAAACCCAGGTCTCAGGACAGTGGGTGTGGTGACAAGGGCCACTATGCCAGAGGAATGTCAAATGCACCGGGCAAGAGTGTCTGGAAATCCAGGAATCAGGGTCATACTAGAAAAGTTCATGCAAGATGACTTAGACATTACTTCCTCAAAATGATTTCAGTTTTAACTAATATTTAATTTAAATAGAGTAATCCCTCAAATTTTTAAAGTGGTCAATACAATTTTAAAAAGACAAGTAACATTTTTGACATTCTTGAAATTTCCCCCTTTTCTTTCTCTACTGAAATTCAGTTTGATTTTTCTATACCTCTTTATAGCCGTCACTGATTCTCTCCAAGCTGAGGGAATACACAAGGTCCTTGCCTCCAACGAAGAGCCGCTCTTGATATTCATCCAGCAGCATTGTATGGAGATCAAGAAATCCAAGAGGGCTATGAAATATTGCTGTTCTGTTCAGATTCAAGAGCTCTGAAATGCAAAGTGATATGCACACTAAACGCACGAGAAAATGCAAATACCTTTATAACACTTTTCTCAAAGCTCTATTTTCAATCCTATTGGAACCAAATTGTTAACATTCATTTTATCGTAAATATGCTGGCAACGAATTTTAATGTGTACAAATTAAAATATTTTATAAATTTATGAATCTAAAAAACGTCATCAGTTTAATATGTGAGAAAAATATTCCATATTTTTAAATACAGAAAAAAAGTCATCCTTCACAATCTTTAACATAAAGAACTAGGTAGAAGTCATTTTACAACTCCTCTGAGGTATAACGGTTCCAAATCTACATTAAACCCACCAGAGTGTGTTTATCAAATTCAGGTAAACACCCCTCAGAAAAATAATGTTTCTACTTGAAATTGGTTTTGAAAGTCACATCTAAAATCAAATTTCCCAAGTCTGAAAACTATCAGTGTCATTAATACAATGAGACATTAATGTAACAGTTACAGTAGGGATCACTGATAAAACTGGTGGGGATATGTTTTCAATCACTGCAATTTTTCCTTATATTCTTGCATTCGTGCCTATGTCAGAAATTTTGAGCTATATGTTTTACCTATATACATTTAATTGTAAGAAGTCAGAATCTGGGAAACCTCTCATCTGTGTGCATTTGTTTGTTGAAGGTATTTAATTACATATTTAATTGCATATGGCAGTTCAGTACTTAAGGTTGGTAAAATGATATATGAGAACCTTAGGTGATGAGAAAATATTAACCCCAAGCCTAGACTCTACACGTTGAAGAATTTCTGAACAGTCTATTGGCAAATATTGACAAGTTAGAAGATAACTTTTTCTCAAAGGTCAATGCCTAATGCATCTAACGGAGAATGTGGATTGTTGGTGATTAGGACACTAAAATCTAAATAAGTGATACTATAAAGTAGGACAAATCTACAGCATTGTACCCACTTTTACACTTCTGCTTCTGAGAAAAAAGAGATAAAGTTTCTTTTCCTCTCTATTAATAATATGTTCCCTATCTATATCTCTACCCTCAAACTGTTGATGACCAAAACTTTATAAAGTAGTGTTAACTTTAAATCTTTAGTTTAAAATGAACAATATTGCTAAAATCAATATATTCTTTATAAAGGTAAAACTTTGTCTTATTGAGTTACCTTTGAGATATTGAGTGTTTTGACTAGTCACTTAAATAAATAATCTGAGAATAAGTTTTGAGGGTTGGAACTAAGAAATAATAGGTATAACACATAAGGGGTTTGCCAGATTCTGACATTTTAAAATTAAATGTGTATAGGTAAAATATATAGCTTGAAACTTGTGCCATAGGCACAAATGTAAAAGTATTAGCAAAAATTGCAATGGTAGAAAATCCATCCCCAATTCTTCCTTCTTTTCCTACCCTCAAAACTTACTTGGGAAGGAAAATAAAATAGGAGTTTGAGAAATTAGAGGTTCTATCCTGGGATACATTTTTTTTTCATTTAATAATTTCATCAAAGTAGAATCATGTTGAGATCTACTAGCATAACAAAAATATAGCTCAAAGCTGCCTGCGATCATTACACTTTGTCTTTACATATAAGCATTCATGTTTGTATCAGGGCTGCTAAGTGGATTCTTCTCTCAGAAAAAGTTTTCTCAATTATTCTAATAGTTTTTAAATTTTCTCAGTTTTAATGCACAATGAAATAATTATCTGAATGGGTACAACTGATCAAAGGATGGTTACATCTTAGCTGGAATAGGTTCCTAGACTACAGAGCTACCCCAAACTCTAAGATGTAGAGCTTAAGAGACTAAGTTGGGAAATATGAGAAAGTCATGAAAGGATTCAATTATGCGGGATTTTAGTAAGGGGCACCCAACCAGTAAAGATGGCACTCTGTGATTGATTCCATCTATGGATGACCTTGCCTGCTTCACATTTAGGTGATTAGCAACTCATTACCCCTGCACGCACACAGCAAGCTAGACACCAACTTCTACTTGTTTTTACAACTTACCAATTTCCCTACTTGCTAAGTATATAGCAATTCTAATAGTCTAAAGGTGCTTGTTCCTATTTCTTTGTAAATAATAGTAGAAACTAATTATTGAATCATCAGTCTTATTTTATTCTGATGTATTACCTTCTCTTGCAACCTATCTTTCCTCTCTATGGCCAAGTCTATCCTACAAGATCACAAAGATGTACATGTTTCTGTGGGTACGTGGTTTGGATAAAGCAAAGGGAAAGCACCAAAGTGTGCATTCAACAAATGCAAATTTTGTGAATCTTCCTTTTTTAATGATCTTTACATTTATATATAAATATATACTTTAAAAAACAGTAAACCACTGTGTAACAGTTTAAATTACCAATGTATTTTATTTTACTGGAGAAACCAGAAATTTAATGACTATCTTAAGGTCATACACTATTATAATAAAAATCACTTAATTTTACATCTAAAAACATAAGAATTAAAGTATAACAGATGTGTATATTATAACCAGAGGTCTTTGTAGATGGAGAATCTGGAAGGCAGGTTTTAGTCTTGTATGTGACAATAACTGCCTAGGTATACTTGAACAACCTCTTAACCTCTTCAGATTGGATTATTCACCTGTTAATTACCCTTCCACCTTTAAAATTACTAAATTGCATTTCTAAAATAGAGCTGATAAAACAGTGCAAAAAAAGAAACAAGCAAATCGACATTTAGATGTTTTATGGAGTCTTTTAAAGTACAATGCTGAGCTTATATTTTTGTTTTTTTTTAAATATTTTTGGAAGCTTATCAAAGGGAGGGAATGGTGAATGAGCAAATATAATTATCACATGTCCCATGTTTAAGCTTGCCTAAAGGGAAGTAGCTAGAAAATTCATTTACCACTTTTTCTGATGCTAAATGATTATAGGATCAGTGAAAAAAAAAATATAATAAGGAATTTTGGAAATGACTTCTCCTGATTCATTCATATTGCCTCAGAGGAAATTGTTATCAAAATATGTTTGGATACATAAAACTGAATATCATTACATATCATATGTAATAAATTAAGAAATGCCATTTTATTTATGAAGATACTTCTTAGAATAATTTCTGAGGCCCTTTTATAAACTCATAAGAGCTAAGAAACAGGCTGTAGTTTTCTTTAAACATTTCTTAATATAAGAAAAGAAAAATGCATTGAATTCTTCAGCTACTCTCTACCCTAACCAATACCATACAGAAAACAGTGACAGCAATTTAATTCCTAACACATTAAGAGTTTCCAATAGATAGATTTTTTTTTTTTTTTTGAGACGGAGTTTCGCTCTTGTTACCCAGGCTGGAGTGAAATGGCGTGATCTCGGCTCACCGCAACCTCCGCCTCCTGGGTTCAGGCAATTCTCCTGCCTCAGCCTCCTGAGCAGCTGGGATTACAGGCACGCACCACCATGCCCAGCTAATTTTTTGTATTTTTAGTAGAGACGGGGTTTCACCATGTTGACCAGGATGGTCTCGATCTCTTGACCTCGTGATCCACCCGCCTTAGCCTCCCAAAGCGCTGGGATTACAGGCTTGAGCCACTGCGCCCGGCTGATATTTTTTTTTAATTATAAACTAACTAAAGTTATAAACTAACTAAAGCTTATGAATGCCACAGTTTATATTTTTCTTATCCATTTTCACAGGCATAAATGGTATCTTGATCCTTAATTTTCTCTAAGGCCTAGAATGCTTTTCCTAACTGGTTACAATTTTGTAACATACTTGAAGTCAAGAAAGGCTAGAAGTATCCATTATAGGTAAATATTTGGGTTTTAGACATATATCTACAATAAAGTACACAGAGCCATTCTATAATAAAACTATTTTTGAAAAGAATGTGAATGTTTATTACGTATTTACTATTATTTATTCAATATTAACTCAATTTTTCTACTTTTATGTAATCGATTATTTAATTTGCCTCTTTCCAAAAAGTATCTGAGATGACTTATACAAATATATCCAATCAAATAAACAAATATATTTCTAGGTGAGTGAAGGTAAGAGAAAAACAGAGTGGGCTATAATAAATTTAACTGGAAGTCATCCTCTAATATCTGATACATTATGAAAATGAATCCCAAATTTGAACTCTGGCTTCCCAAAATCCAAAGTGGAAGAAGTCATTGTATACAAGAAAAAAAAAGGACTGTATCAGTGGCTTAGGAGCATTATCTAGTATTAAGAACTAAGGGAAATTTCTTCTAAGGTCTTAATAGGTATGCTGAAAAATACTATGATGGACATTCAACATCACTAAGAATTAAGGTGTCAAGTTCCATACCTGTGCTTATAATTATGTTCCTTAATAAAAGACAACGAATCTAACATCAAAATTCACTGCACCACAAGTCACTTTATGGCCTTGGTTAGCCATGTTATTTGTGATATTAATAATTGCAATGAACATAGATTAAATTAAAGTAATGTAAATGCAAGGACAGAAATCCTGGCCTCCTGGTAATCAGAAAACAAACAGAAGCCAAGATAATTTATCTCTCAGGAGATACTGCATCTTTGCTTCTTGCTTCTCTTAATGCCACTGCTTCACTATACTGATTCTAAAGGGCTCATTTATTAGTTTGTTCATGGACAAATATTTGTTAGCTCCCAGTTATATATAACCTTCCAGCTCCCACATCACCATGGTGTGCGAATAGTTCCTGCACTTCCCAATTCAAATTCTCAGGGAAAATCATGTAATTGTGTCAACCAGTGTTCACAATTCATAGGTTGCTGGCTTCCTCTAGATTGGATATGTTGTGAACAATTATCCATCTGTGGTTAAAATGTGGAAGACACATAGTAAAAAGAGTGGTTTCTATAATTAATGTGTATGGGGTCAAAGCAGTCATCATGAAGCATGTTTCAATTCCATAGCAAACTTACCCAGTCTGTCTTTACTCATGAACAAATTTATAGTAACATAAATTTCTTGAAACCTGTATTTCTGCTAGACTAAATAAG